TACTTCTTCTTCTTCTCTCTCTCTCTCTCTCTCTCTCTCTCTCTCTCTCTCTCTCTCTTCTCTCTCTCTCTGCGCCCGAGACAATCGATCGGGGGAAAAAGAGGAAGGAAGAAATCGGCGGACGTGCGTTTAACGATCCATAAACCGGCCGGCCCATGTATCTGTCGCTGCGAGTAACGCGTAACTCACGCGCTCGTCCTCCAACTGATCGCGTTGCGTAACGTTATGTCACGGCGTTAATAGCACCGCGTGTGCACGTCGGCTTTGCAGACGTGTGTACCACTTTACGATTTCCATCAACGAGCTCGACGATTGACTTGTCAGAAGGTGCGATACGTATCGGCGTGGCGGCGTAGCGTGGCCGCATAGCGGATAGATACGCCGTGCCACGCTACCCGTTTCCGCTAATGGCTTTATGGTCACCATGGCTTTCCTCGGGCTCTACCTGCGCGGAGTACTCACTCGAATAACGGATTTCTGTCGAGGAACGCATAACTTCTCCTTTGGATTTTCTAAAGCTATCGGTATATCCAACATTTAAAAAAGAAATTATGGAAATGAATGAAAAGCTCGCATAGACGTGTAGAGAACGATATAATACGTTTTAATGGGTAAATACCGATTATTTCTACATGAGAAATTTTTAAATTAAAATTTTATCTAGAATTTTATCTAGACTTTGCGTTTGACCAAACTTTGCATTGTATAGAAAAAAATCCCGATTAAAAAAATGAAATTCTCTCTAAATGAAAAAGATATTTTGACAATTTTGTTTGACAATTTTTCTGAAATTTTATTTTTAATATTTTTTAATCTTTTGCATTTCATTTTTCATTACAAAAGTTTATCGTTTTAAATGGCTTCTAGATGATTAATATTATTGTACAATATTTAATAATGCGAAGTATTATTAGTTTAGAAGTTACATTGAAAGTTTGTGCATATGATACATATTTCGATCCAAATTTTTTTTTAAATATATAACACAATTATATAATCTAATATAACATTTAAATTCAGTAAGAATATTGTAAATAAAGTTATGTGTCAACATAATCATATTACTAATCGTTTAAAAAAAAATTAATTTTACGTATCTAATTGTCGATTCAGAATTGTCGGGCACAAATAGATTTTCCTAGATTCGGAAAATGTGCCGCGGTTTGTGCCGCAAGTGTAGTTACTATCGTACACCCGGTATATAACGGAACGTAAAGAGCGATCGCGCTCGCAGTTGCTTAGTTAACTTATGGACGCGAGTATACTCAAGTCAAGTGGCGCTGTATTAACGATCGACAATGCAATCAAAGTGAAGGAAAGGAAAGGAAAGGAAAGGTCCTCGGCCGAAACCTCAATTCTCACGGCCCAATTTTTTTTTCCTCCCCGCCATGCACGTAATTTGCACGCGATACTCAAAGAGGAATGTCAAAAGATTGGGTCCCGGCCCACCTTGAGGCGTTTCGGCCGATTCGTAAATCTAAAGAGGCTTAATGACGAGTAAAAGAGACCGTGACGAAGCAATTTACTTTCCTCCTCGTTATTGTAAAATTCCGCGAAACGCGGCCGCGGTCGAGAGACTTCCGGTTTCGTTCGCGCCCACGAACGAGGATATATCTCGACGAGTTGGGATCTATGCAGCTTTTTTCAGACCAATTTTTTTTTTCTTTATCTATTTATACCGCGCGTTTATTAAGATATGTTTTTTTTCAATTATGTGTCGGAGTTGTTGTTGCCTAATACTTGATATTACAGCGGTAGATAATCGTGAATAATCGGTATTACATAATACAGTGACGGTGTATTCGTAACGAACCGACTGGTAGGCGTGTATAGTGTTTTATATGTTAATTTTCAATGTCGGTTCGCTGAAAGAATCCAGCGCCGTGTATACCCACGTATCCCCCTTTAAAAGAACAATTCATAACCCGGCGATCTTGATCTTATTTTTTTTTTTTTCCGTTCTGACTTCATTCATTGTCAATTTTCGGGTACGATAATAATTGCGGAAATTCCGCGCGATGCAGCAAGAGAGAAAAAAAAGGGTGGAGTGAATTTGTTGACGATTGAAATCGCATTTGAAACGCGGACATCAGTCGAGCGTGCACAGGACGCGAGCGGAGAATAGCAGGGATTAAGGGATAGATAAAAATCTCCGATCCGAGCAAGCAATAAATGGACGAAGCTCGTTCGAAGCGAGCGGTAAACGACGCGTTTTCCGGCGGTTGCTTCTTGTTTTCAATAGACAACTCCGGGACGAATCACTTGCGGATTCTCTCTGCGCAAGAAGCGTATACTACCGTCGTGTGCTGATTATCCTCGAGTCTCGATACCTCAATACGTATCATCCGTAATCCGCGTATATTTACCGGAAAACGGTAACGGTAAAGGCTTCGCCTCAAAAATAAACGCGTTTCCCCTCACGCCGATTCTACACCGTCTTCCAATTAAACTCCTTGAATTTGCCGCTTCCGCGGCAATCATGAGGCGATCATAATCTCACACAATTAGCGAGCAACGGTCGAGTGTACCGCGAATTCGAGAGATAAAAAAAAAAACGGGAAAGTCAGAGAAATGAAAAATGCGGCGAAGACTCGCGAGAAATTGTTGGAATTTCAAGCGGAAACGAAGCGAT